AAATCTATTGATATGATAAATAGATAACACTTATAAAATAATACATATTACTATTAAAATTTCTAAAACAAAACATATCAATCTTATTTAAATATCATAATACTTTGTTCAAAAAAAATTAATTTAGCTAATATTGAATAAAAATTATTTTTTACTTAATACGAGATACTAAAAATGGTATTGCATCAGAAATTAAAAATTATATCTATATATATATAGATATATATATATATATATAGATATACATATATATGAAGATCAATACTCATGGATTTTGACAAAGCAATGCATTAGAAATTTGTACTTTGCTGCTTCAATAAATACATTACTTTCATACTTCAAAGCTAAGGGTATACAAATTGATATAATATGATTCAAATCTCTTATAGCAAAGGAGAAGAAGTGTCAATTTCAATAAGGCTTATACTTGTATTGTAATGAAGAAGGCCATAAATTTGGGAATTTTTCAAAGAAACAACATTCAACTAGGACTGCGAGTGCAACCATTCATAAAAACAAGGAAGCTCAACCATAATAGTGACTATGTGTTTAGGCATTTCAACACCTCAAGTTCATCAAGGTCCCTCTTTCTATGCCTAACTTGCTTATAAGTTTATTATAATTTTATTTTTAGTGCTACAAAAACTTCAAACAAATGCTTTATTAGATTTAGATACATTTGCTTGTTTTTTAGATAGAAATTTTTTCAAACTTCATCAAATTCTTTTAATACAAAATTCAAAACATGTACATGTAGAAATAATAGATGGTTGACCTTTATCTTCAAGCAATGTTATTCGTAAGATCATATTGCTAGAAATATCATTTGAAGATAATAGTAGCAATATATATATATATAGTATATAATTTTATTATAATACATATAATATATACATATAATAAAAATATAAATATAAGATATATTTATCTTTAAATATACTAATAATTAAATTAAATTAAAAATAAATATTTGTATGCATATAGTTACATACAATAAATATTATAAGTATTATTTTTGAAACCACTTCAATTAAGTATTAATAATTTCACAAATAAAAATTAAAGTTTAAATTGGTTTTAATCAAAATAAAAATATATATTTTTAATGTAATTTTTTTAAATACATGTATTGATTCAATAAATATAGAATCTAAATAATCTTATATTATATATATATATATATATATATATATATATATATATATATATATTTTACAAATGAAACATGAAAAAAATATAAATTAAAGCTTGTACAATACAATATTTACCATGATTAAAGTTGTACATGAAAAAAATACATATTAAATTAGTATTATCAAAACATTGATCAAAGTTTGTTGCAATCTTAGTCATTTCTATTTTGTATTTGTATGATACATCTTGTAGACTCTCAAAATTTATTTAGATGTATTACTTTATTTTCTTCATTCTACATTTATGTCATATCAAGTAACTAGTGTTTGAGCATTTAGATCAATAAAATCACTAGATTAGAACATTAAGTTTGTAAGCTTTTTGATTACTTATTTGTTTAAGACACCATATGATGCCATTTATGTCTTCCATTTAGAAATAAAATTGATCTTTAGATAACCTTATAATATTTAAATTACCATTGCTCCACCATTTATTATTAAAAATGGTCTAATAGTGTGTTATAACTTGTGGCCATTCTTAAACTAATATTAATAAAAATTATAATTATAATTATAATAAATTAATAAATTTTATTTATAAAAATTAAATATATTTTTAAAAAATTAAACTAACATGATAGAATTAACATGATGTACTAAATTATATTTATGTGATACAAATTTTATTTGAAATTCTATATAAATATTTTTATTTTTTAATCAATTTTTTTATGATCTCTTTTTTTTTTAAGTTTCTAAAAAAGTATTATTAAATTTGAAGTTGACTTGATATAAGAACATACATTGATATTCTATCTAATTAAATTATAAAAGCACAAAATCTTATGATATATGACAATAAATTTCTAAATTATAAAAACATCTACCTTCAAATGTATATATTTTTAGAAACAAATAGAAATTCTAAATAAAAATCTAAGCATTTTTAAATAAAACATTATATTAAAATATATATATATATATATATACACACATTAATTATCTTATAAACTATATTTTTCAAAAAAAAAGAACTTCATCAATGATAGAGAAAGAGAGATGTTAAAGCAACACTCCCATATAATTAAAGCCACACCTCATGTAGATACACTCTCTCTCTCCCCCTTAACTCTTGCTCTCTAAGTGCTCTCCCTTGTTGCTCTATTTTATCTCTCTTCTCTTGTTGTTTACTTATGTCTAGTCTTGTTTTTCCCTATTGCTTTCAATTTATGCATACACACTAAATCTTTAATTAAAATGCTTCTTCCACTTAAATGCAAAACTCTACACTTGCCAACCTTCTTCAATGTGTCCCAAAAGAAATTGTAAAGTGCAATCATAAAAAAAAATCGAAATGCAAGAAACTACAATACCTCTCTAGTGTGATTTTGCAATATTCTATATAATATTATCTTAATCTATATGCTTATTTTAAATTTATTTTCATTGCAAGTATTTTTTTTTATAAAATTATAATTTCATCATAATTTATAGTTATTTAATTAGTAATTTTAAATTTATAGTTATTTAATTAGTAATTTTAAATTTTAAAGTTTCTATATTTATTGTATATTAAATTCTTCAATAAAAATCTATTACATAAAAATCATCTATCATCAAATAGGCTTAATTTTTATAGTTTAAATCAATTATGAAATAATACATAAAAAATTAAGTATATTTTAAATTTAATTAGATATTTTAATTTTATAAAATTATAATGAATATTTTTACAATTAGAAGTAGATTATCAAATTTATAGATGAATTTTACTGTAAGCATATTGAAAACTATGATTTTTTTTGCATTATATATATATATATATATATATATATATAGAAACCCTTGGTCTTTTAAATTTAGTATAAATACGTTTAGAGATATTTTAGAATATTTATTAATATTAACTCTTAAGTTAGTTCTAAAATTTATAAATGTTGATATTTTAAATTTTTCTCTTTTTCTTTTTTTAACAAGGTTATTGTGTACTTTGATTGCAAGTCTACAAAACATATCGATTTTTTTAAAGCATTTTACTATAATGTGAATATTACTTCTTATTAATAGACCAATTCCTTTTATAGTTAACTGTAAATGTGTAGTTATTGTATTTATGATTATTATTATTATTATTATTATTCTTTGAAGGAATATTGATAATTTTTGTATGAAAGTTTTATAATATTGTTATTTTTCTGTTCAACTTGACCTTATATAATCAATTGAATTTATGACTTTTAATACCAATGACAAGATAGAAGTAAAGAAAGAACAGAGTACTTTAATTAATTGAAAATTTCGAATCAATATTTATTCTAATATTTGACAGCATGTTTATTAACACATTAGGATTATTATTTTTTTTTAAATTAAAAAATGAAAAATAAAAAATTGAAAGAACTTATATATGTTGAAACCTGGGTTACTTTTAAGTCTATAGTTGATTTTATTCTTTAATGACTTTTCCATTATTAATATGCAACTGGATATTCCTATATGTCCTAAATATTATAACACAGGTAATATACAAGTTATATGTACAAAAACCTTATAGTCTTTTTATGATCTCTTTATAAATTTGAATGTATTAATAAATATAAAAGTAGGCATATGATTTGTACACATCAATTTCTAATTATGTACCATTCCTGTTTTATTTAATATAATAATTTCTTTATATATTTTGCATTAAAAGGTTAAAGACAATCCCCTACATCATTTAGAGGCATATTTAAATAAATTTATGCAGGAAAATAATGGTAAATTAAACAAAAATAAAATAAAAAAGTCCCATGATAAAATATTTTTACATGTAGATTTTGTTGGTCATCTACTCAAGTCATAGTTAAAGAGTGTATGTTATAGACCTTATAATATTATATATTTTAATTTGAATAAAATATAATTAAGCATATGTATTTAGGACATTGTTGCATGTATTGTAACACTTCAATAGCAAACTGTTAAATTATGGTTTTGTCTAAATAATGCAAATAAAAAGTAATAGATATAAAATAATCATATTTCAACATTAAAAAAAATATTGCCTCTATATTTTTAATGTACATAACAAATATACATTCTTTGTTATAAAAAATCTAAAAAAATAGCTATATAAATTTATTTTTAGTAGATATAAAGACCCAAACACATACATAAATAAATAAACCATAGAGTTGAATATCTAGTTAGTTAGAATTTTATTTTTGTTGTCATTGTTACATTTTCAAGAGACAACATTTTAATGGACCATAATATGGATACAATTTCAATGTTGGATCTAGCACTCAAATTTATATCAAAATACTGTCTTTTATTTGCTTTAAGTATAGTGTCAAATTTCTAATAAAACATGTTGTGATATAAATAAACCAAAATCAACAATGTAAAAAATGATTAAAATTATGACAACTTCAACAAGAAGTTCTATAATCTAAACCCAGTTTTAACACCACAAAGACACTTCAAGGTTGTGATGAAATAAGATTATAATTGATTTCTTCTACCATTTACAAAAATTCTAAATTCTAAATTCTGAATTCTACAAAGGTTACAATTAAATTAAGGTACTGAATAGATGAGGCAACTTCAACCATAATGTTGCTTATAAAATCAATATTACCAAACAACCAAAATCCATTCCATGCTAAAAACAAATTCATTACAAAAAAATTCAAGAGATTCTACCCAACATTAGTATGAGGTAAATTTATAATAATTGTACTAAAATTCTTACAATATTTCCGTATGTTAAAATGTGTACAAATGCAAAAAAAATCCATTATAGTTTTAAATATGTAATCTTAATAATGACTAAGAACCATACATTCTATCTCTTCCTAGTATTATGCAATTTTGAATCCATGGTCATTACATTCATTACATTAGCCAAAAAATTGAACCAAGGCAAGCTCTTTATCGGTTAATATTTCTTCCCACCCTGAATTGAGAAACCCACTTCCTACAAATCACCTCCATACATCTGCAGTTTCTAACCAATCTATTCCAAGAGTCCTGTCAATCCGTACCCTGACACAAAGCATTGGAGATTTTACAAACGCAGTGACTCGACCGCATTAGCTGTGGTTGACACCACAAGAGGTGAACAAGGCAAAAGGTACCACCTCATAGCTCTTGTACCAACTACAGTTCTATGCTACTGCATCGACGTTGATATCTACATAACCTGTCTTGAAACCTACGATCTTCATCTAAAAGAATGGAAAACTAGAACCAAGGATGCCAAGTAGGATCCATCATACAAAGGCTTTTGGGCCTCAAAGCTGCATCAACAAGATCGGACACTCCCCGTTGCACAGATTGAGGAGGTTCTGTTGAATTCTCTTCCTGCAAAACAAAACAAGATGGAGCAGAAGAAATTAGTACTCTACTAGCTGAATATGCTTTACTCCAGATGCAGTGAACAGATGAGAAACTGGTCATGATGAATGGTAGGTTACAGTCGTACCTCCTCAGGGAAGCATTGAGGTGCAATTTTCTGAACACGAGTGATAACTTGCTCCACATTCTCAGCTACTTTGGTTTTCAACTCTGCTGAGCTCATTCCTCCGGCAGTACCATTCGCGGGCGACGGTCCTGGTGGTCTTCTCCATGACCACGAGATGAGCTCATCTCTGAAAAACATTGCTAGCTGGTGTTTAACGTGCTGGTTCTGCAATACAACTATGTCAGTGACATGCTTGCGTTGCCCACTTCTTTGCATTGGATGTACATTAAGTTACATTTGCTCCTAACCTTAACCATGCACCTTTAAAAAAACTAACTCTAGTACAGTAGCAGCTGCAAAAATCATAAGCTAAAGAAATGGGGAAAATCATAACTTGATGAAACAATACCTTAGGAGCAACAACAGCCTGTGCTGCAGCACACATTGAAGATATAAATAGTCCTTCGACACCGAAGGGGGTAAAAAATGTCTGCAGGTTACGTGTGAGTCTGAAAGGAACAGGCTCTGCAAACTCTACCATACCATGTATATCGTAAGCTGCCATCACACAAAGCAATTCGAGTATTAATTGCCAACTTTTTAGTACATTATTATAAAGTCCAAACAAACGTGGTAACGTAATAACAAGCGTGTCACTACATTCACTACAAGTTGATATTATTTGTACCTAAAAACAAAACTAATATACAAGAATAAATCCGTGCATTTAAACATTGAAAATGGGGAGTGTTGATCGGACTCACCAGGGTGGAAATCATTTTGAAAGACTTTGCCCGTATTCTTTGCAAAAAGAATTTTGTTAGGCGACCGCCCTCCAATCTGCAGCATGTATGACATGAATCCTGATAGCGCCAGTTGAACAGCAAACTGCTTCTTAAAAGTCCAAAGATGGTTGCAGGTCGGTAAAGTTTTATACATAAATTGAGAAAAGACGTTCTCGCTAACAAATCTGTTAGTGATTTCGTTATAAGTGTGTAGCCTAAGGTCGACCAGAGCCTCAAGATTGAGTTGTCCAGTAATAGCCTGATTCAATCGCTCCTTAAAGTGAGTGATTGGAAGGTCTGCTTCTCGACCATAGCGAGCACAATTAATTTCATAAACTTCTCCAAATGTACTGTACATCAAGTCGTCTTCCACCAATCGGACCTGAACAAAAAGGCAAATATAAGGATTATAACTATTAGCAGTGGTTCTGACTGATAATTGGGATGCACAGAAGCTTAAAGAAAATGATCCATCAGCACATTAAAAATATCATCCTACAATGAAATACACCACTATACACCAAATAAGATGAGTATCCAACCTACTTGACTTTAAATCATGGAAATTCAGAACGCAGCCAAACCTGAGGCCACACTGGAATAATGATAGGAGTGTTGAAAGCTAGATGGCGACGCCGAGACTCCTTGTGCTTGTCAAGCAAGCGGTTAAGCACTCTGAAGAGCTGCACCATGCGCTCATCACTGCGTGCACTTGGGGTCAATGAGGTCTGCACCAAAAAGTGTTTTTGCGATCCATCATTGCCCACCAAAGTGAGCCTCCGATGGCTGCTGCCATGACGACGAACGATTGGGACATCCGCTCCTATCCGGTCCAGCTTTACTGTATGGTCAGGGGCTACTTCCTACAAAACAAATCAAGAAAGTGCAGCCATCAATATCAATTATTTAGATCAATCCTACGATTGAGATTCAAAAGTTTAAGTCAAACAGCATCTTCCCTACATGTTCACTACTCAAACTAGGCTAAGAACCTGCTTAAAATACATCTCATGACCTGAAAAGAAAGAAAAAATTACCTGATCGTTGAAATATTGACCTGGAACTTCAATATCCAGAACATGAAACTCCCGCAGACTGCGACTTTCCTCTTCCAACTTCAATACTGCTGGAAGCCTATCCTCCACATTGCTCTGGAAATTACCATAGTCAGCATACAGCAAAAGAATGTTTCGTGACTAAAAAATTTACAAGTGAACCCAAGTCGTAGTTGCTTTAAGCACAGTTTAAACCTAGTTAGTGACTATGGAAGCGATAATCACAAATTAGGAACTGTTACAAGAAACAATGTTGAAGAATTACTTGCAGAACTCCTTTCCAAGTCTTCAACTTTTCAGTCAACTCAGCTAGCGTTGCGGGAAATGTGCTTGCACTATCAGGGTCGAGGTCTCTTTCAAATTCTCGCTTATATTCAGTGACAAAGTCAACGTGCTTATTGATAGTGTCTACTGAAAAACATGCACGACAAACTCCAGCTAGTTCCTTCTTCAAAGATTGAGGAACCTCTGCTGTAGTGGCTGTTGGATACTTGTAACATCTGTGTAATAGTGCATGAACTACAGCTAACAGTCGTTCCTCAGGAAGTGGTACAAATCGTGCACCAATCTCGGTTAACATCACCTGAGATTATCATCAAGTCAACACCCGGGAAAAAAAAAAATTAATAAGTCACCTTAAATAGCGTATAAACTGAGTGAAAATGCTGAACAAGTAGCCCAACTAAAATTTAATGAAAACTTCACCTAACAAGGAATATTCCAGCATTTAGCTTACACAAAACAAGTTGTTACCTCCAGTTCATTCGCTAAATTCGTATGCTTCGTTCTCAAGGCCTCCATAATGTCCTTGGCAGCTTCAAATGCCCCAACTGCAGGTGATGGTCCAGTTGGACTATTAGGCCAAGTGGCACTATTCAACCTGCGCAATGTCTGATGTTCCCCAGGCATTGATGTCCCAGAGATGTTGGAGCCAGAAGGCTCTCCAACAGAGCTCCCCCTCTCTGTTTCTTGCCCAGTTATTGTAGATGATTCAGTACCACTCTGCAACGATGCAGATCCCCCTTGGTTCCCCTGGATCATTAATTATAGTGTACTGTCAGCCTGATTGAGGCATCTTAAGACTACTATACTACTAAGTTTTGAAACTAACTAAAACTCTAGCCGACTCCAAGATGCATGTACAGGATGTCCTTAGGAAGCAGTAATGAAAGTATCCTCCCTTTAACCTTAGATTTCTCATGTTACTTGTGAATGGATGACTACCTGAGTGCCTGAGTTAGACAATGGCATCTGAATGCTAGAGGAGGTATCATTGCTGTTGGTTGCAGGCGAAGCAGCCACATCAGATGAGTTCGCAAAATTTGATACATTTGTAGACGAAACCTGTGCCAAAGTTCGGTTTGAAGTGCCCCTCATCATATCTGGTTTGTTAGCGATGTCACGACGCTCCAATAAATACGTGCGTAGCCAATAATACAGAGCCTGCCACACTCGGGCAATACATCTCGACTTCAGCATACTAGTTAAGGAATAACATTGAATAGCTTACTGCTGTTGAGATTTATTCAATCCAATATTCCTACGCTTTCGGAACAATAGCGCTATAGGATAACTCACGCTTCCAAACAAAAGAGCTTACTAAGGTGCAAAGTTGAAATTAGACCTGTGGAAAAACAGCCGCAAGCTTCAATATAACATTCTTACAGCTCGCTGCCTCAGGCCTCTGAAGGGACAGCAGCAATTGCGGAATCCAAGCAAGCCAGACCCACTGGGGTATAGAATCACAGTACTTATCGAAAGCCTTGCTCACTGAACCAGTCTGATTATCAAAACTTAGCAAAAAGAGAACTCTAGCTAAGTGGTTACGCCCGTGCTTGCTACCGTACTTGATGCCTTGTAAAAAGCAGCTCACAGCATATTCTAGCCACAGATCTTCATTAGTTTCCTTGTACACCTGCATGACAACGATTGATTTAAGCAAAATCATGCTAATTATACATTGCACCTTATTCAGGCTCATGAGTATGAATGAATTTGGGATGGCATTGCACAAGTCCATATTCAGTCAACGGCGGTAAACTGACTTCATTGCAAATGAAGAGAAACCTGATCACAATGATTGCCCCAGCTTATCCACCCCTTCGGCAGATGCTTGTAGAGAGAAATGGCAGTACAATACGCTTGATTTGCATTCTCCATGTCATTCATCTTCTGCAAAAAATCCCCTTTCAGTCGGAAAATCTCTGCTTTGTGCTGCAGAGGAAAATATTCCAAGTTCGTAGTATTAATGAGACTCAATCCGCTCGCTAATTCTCCTTTCATCTCTAGATACGCCTTTGCTTGCTCCCGTATTTTAACAAACGCTTCCTGCAAACGACCAATACAAGGTAAAACAAGTATCCCAGAAAGGTTGCAATAGACGAGTCCAAGTTATTTCATGTCTGAATTTCAGGTAACAGACAAACCCTCACCTGCACCTCCATCGTGAGAAAGCCGTACATCTTGTTCAACACACTGACGCACACTTCGTATAGCCCTTGTCTACGAGCCACATAAGCAAGCTTGTTTACACTCCATGCCTTGTCACGGAAACCCAGTTGGTGCAATTGGGGATTTGTTTCTGAAAAGCCCTTGAAGGCATTAATCACTGTATTATACATGTGATTACGCCACTGTAGTAGATCCATCCAAACCGTCAGTTCATCCCATTCATTAGGTGTTCGTAAACGCCATGTTTCCAAAATATCCTTCAAATCAACATAAGCACCAGCAGGCCCCTGCACGAAGCAATTAACGTTGTGAGAAATTGGTCAACCACTATTCAAATACAACTATTTCAACTACACCTTTGCAATAACATACACAGACATATTATTTTCTGCCGTGCATGCATTGTCAGAGTGAGGTAAGGACATACTATGATAGGAACTGTTGGATGACCATCTAATCTAAGAATACAGAACCATCAAATCTCAGCCTCAGGCTATGGCTCACCTGAATTCCTGCCACTTGCCCAGATCCTTGAGGCTGGGGTTTGTTTCCATTTCCAATCTCTAAAAGCACTCGTGCTGATTCCTGTAGTTCCACCAATTGTTGAAACTGCTGCAAAAGGGGAATGTGAGATTGTACAGCCATTTCTGGCAATTGCCACCATTGGTGAAGAGCCAGCTCGACCCCTTGACCAACCCGTCCATCAGCCTCAGTCACACTGGCTAAACTACCGTCGTTCAGAGCCACATATGCCTGTACCATGCGGAATTTGGGTGATTCATCAACCTGCGCCTTGGGCAAGACAGTCTCCTTCAACAAGGTCCAATCTGGAACTTTAATGAGAGTATCAAGCAAAATATCATAATTTTCAACACTTCGACCAAAATCCACTAGTATGTCCCATTGACTGAGACGTTTAGCGCAAGCAACCCATTGTTCCTCCCAGAGACACATTTCAGCCTTAGAAACTACTCCGGCATTGTATGAACCCTGTATGCAAGACAAGCAAAGAGATCAGTACACAGCTCAGGAAATACCGCAAAGAAAAAACGAACAAGATACGATATTTCTCAATTTCCTCCATATGTTCACTAGAGATATGCATACACTAAACAAAACTTCAGCCCAAAAGTTGGACCTGTGTTGCCTTGTTCATTGCATTGTAGAAAACATCCTGAGCTCGTTGCCACAAGCCATGTTGTAGTAATGAAAGACCAGCTCTTGTATCCGCAGTAATCGTCCGTCGCTTCCACAGCCCATATCTGACATCTTCTTCATTCAGCATACGATAAAGCTCCGCTAGAGCATCAAAACAACGTGTTTCCTAGAAAGCAACCAGATTGATTTCATTAATTACCAGGACAAACACTACAGGTCTTTGTCAACTGCAAGAATATTCATGAAATGTAACACAGGGAAAAGCTCACAAGAAAAGACGCCAACAGAACAAATCGTAATTAGCACTGTGCTATTACTGTTACCTGTGGAAACAACATCACATGACTCTCGAGTAAGGATATTGCTATATGCCAGGCATTGTAGGTTTTCCCCAGAAACTTGATCAATTCACTAGGAATCTTAGGCTGTGGTTGACTAAGGGACAGGCCTTCCAGCAAGGCCTGAACTACATTAGGTCGTTTATCCAGCTGCTTGCTGTGATACTCCTTGGAAAGCAAAGTTATCATCGGTTTGGCAAGCATAACCTGCTCCTCTTTTTGAAGAGTTGCCCAGACAATGGGAAACACCAGCACCCACATGTGATAAGCAACATGAGCATCTGTATGTGCAAGTTCTCTGAGCGGCATCACCAGATCAGCCACCTGAAGTTTGCTAACTTCATTTAAAAATCGAGCATGCTTGTTAACAATTCCCATGAATGTGGGCGTAGCTCCATCAGATTCGTCTGGTGGATCACAAGCCTGCAGTTGCATTCCTGCTCGTTCTGGAACTACTCCTGAAGCCATTAACGGAGGAACCTGCAGCACAGAACAATAACACTGAAATCGTAAGACTAAAATCAAGGCAACTTCAAAAACGAAAAGATCTCAGAGAAAAACAATATGACTCAAAAGCAAAGCATGCTTTCTTCACAAATGTTTAACATGAAATTACTGGTTCACTTTACTCATTGGCAAACAGATATAGAAGAGAGATAAATTGTGCAGCAATTGATACTGAATCCTGAAATCTTCAATCTATGTTTCATTTGATAGCTGGAGGTCGACCTGGGCAGAATTCGGAGCAAGTGTGATGGGCTCATGTTCCACTAGGATGGCAAGCAACAGATCAAGACACTGTTTGAGCCAGAAAACGTCGCTTAAAGCTTCCCATTCTTGAGTTTGAATAATGTATTGCAATCGGGTAAACAAAGTTTTGCTGATGGAATCGTGATAAAGGGTGAAAAACTTCTGTCGCATCTCAGGATCTCGAGATCGTAATCCCAGCATGAACTGTCGTTCAACCTTCTGAAAAACTTCTTGCCTAACAGACAAGTTGTACCTGTGATAGCAAAGCAGCATCTGAACATCAAATTTCCTTTCCGATACTCTAAAATAAATGCACGACGAAATACACAATTGGAGAAACAAAAAACGAATAATAGATACTCATACAAACCTCTTATTATCTGTCAGAAGCTACAAAATGCAATAAGTAACCGAAATGACATTGTTTTTTGTGGAGTACTTACTTTGTTGTATCTGAACACAGCCGATGCAGTAACTTAAGGTACATCCGATCCCACTCCTCCAATACGGCTGGAGTCATACCAGAACAATCGACTTGAGCCAAACGCTGCATGAAGGCCACCACATCTTTGATAACCAGGGGAGCTGTGGAGGCAACCTGATTAGATCCCTTAAAGTCATGTTCCACCCAGTCTCTTACTAGTTCCAGGATTGCAAGCAGTACCCCAGTATCAGTGCCCTTCTCCCCGAGAACAGTTGGAAGCATCTGACAAAATAAACGTTTGGACTCGGGCAATAATAAAACCCGCTCACTAATGAGCTTCATGAGTGTCTTTAGGTTATTAACAGATAGCGAAAGGTCCGCTGACCCGCGTCCTGTTTGATTCGTCGCATCAGCCTCCGGCCTGTGCCCCTGCTGAAATAGGCACACCCATTATGGCGGATTGAGGACAACTAATACGTTGAAATAAATCACTGACATCACATTCATGGAATTTGGTTACAGATATTTATTATCCATAGAATAATTACATACCTGACGCGCAAGCTGTGCAGATGTTGTGGCCATTTCGCGCGCAAGACGGTGGAAAACTCGCACCAAATACAACATAAATTTATCAACATACTGCTTGTTCCCAGCCACAAGCGTCTTCAATACGTTGAGCGTGAAACTGATCATGACATTAATAACTGAAGCTTCAACAGGCGGCTGTGTTGGATTAGACGTCACAGTCGTCAACTGCTTCTGAATAAGCTCCTCGACCTTCTGATGCAAAAGCTTCACATCCTGATGAGTGTCTGAAGCATCCACTGGAAATGCTTCAAACACCATCTTCAGCAAAGTACAAAGTGAATTACCAATCTCCGGCAACTTGCAATTAAAAGAAGGTTCCAGCACCTGCAAAAAGCACACATTACTTAAGACTTATTGCATTGATCAGTATCAGAGATTACCAGTATTAAGTCCAAAAATGCATGAAGTTTTTTGAGCTTTACACTACGCACCTGGATAATATGATGGACGTTATTCCGAATAAACAAATGTGGCTGCTTCTCCACTGCCTTGTTCATGACGTCGAGCCCTTGTGCCAATGCGGTGGCTGGATCCTTGCTTTGTCCAGCTGGTTGTTGTGCAGACAATATTTTCTCCAAATAATTGAACTTCACATTTGCATGTGGCCAAACCTCAAGTGCTTGCGTCAAAAGCTCCAGTGCTTGTTTATACATTGCCTGTGTTTCTTTATCCTTGGGTTCAGTAACCAAGGCCACCTGCACAGAGTGGAAACAATTCAAATCAAACTGCTAATCTTAACATAAATCATTAATGTGTAACCCACTTCATTAGGACATGAGGCCGAAGTCACAAAAGAGAAAGAAGTTCTAAAGTAACGTTGAGAAACTAGACATCATATCAACAAGTGCACCACTCAGTATTGCCTTACGGTAACAGCCAAAGATTTAGATAAATTACCCGTATTAAAAAATTGATAATCATCTCCTCCATTGCTGCATTAGGCTTGAACTCCTCGTCAGCCTGCCCCATAGAACCAGGAGTGCCAATATTGGGAATAGAATTGGTGGGACCTGTGGGTAAATTGGGAGACATTCCGGCAAGACCAGGCAATCCAGACTCTGACTTTGTTCGTTTACTTGCCTCATCTCCAACTCCCGTTAACCCTGCAGCTTCAGCTGTTCGTTTTGTTCCTGAAGGTGCTCCACCAGCTGCAATTGCTTCAGCAGGAACCTGTCCTTCTGCACCTGCAGACTTACTTTGTCCATCTCCTTCTGTACTGCTTCCTTTGGCTTCCGCCTGCCTCCGCTTCTCCCACATCACAACCAAACCAGCAAGATCAATGGCAAGACGCCGATTCTCTAATGGGGTGTTCTGTGGTAAGCCAAGTCTGCTCAGCGAATTCACCATCTGGGGAACAAATTGAGCACGACAGTTATAGAACAAATTAGCATGCCGGACCAAAAGCTGGAAGATATGTATTAAGTTCGGCACTGAATGTCCTTCTTCCACCAGAATCTTCTTGGTGTAGCGAATCCATATGGGTATCTTATTTTCACCGAGGGGCAGACGTCGCGGAAGAGCAGGCATCAAAATGTCGAGAGCTTGCTTAACCAGAACACGATGCTCAGGTTGACAAGTTCGTAAGAGAGCTACGAATACCTGAAAGACCAAATTCTCGAAATGTGAGCCGTAAAAAAAGAAGCTAGTTGACCAGACCACTCAAAGAATTAAATACAAAAACACCACAGAAAAAGCTCGGGAGTATTCATCAACCTGTAAAATTATTTTTTCCGGAGCTTGATATGCCTCCAAAAACTGACACACATTCACAAATGCCCACTGCTTGCTAGCACTTTCTTCCCGTTTCAGATGATTCCAGCCAAATTTGATAAGCTCCTTGCGATGGTGAACAAGATCGCTTGGAAGATGCTTAAGCAGAAGAGTAGCTAATTGGAGCAACTCAATGCGCAAAGACTCGTCATAATCTGCACTGACTTCCTCAGGAGGATCTAGAAGCTTCTCAATGATGGTTTTGATAATAGTTGCGTCCACTACATCCCAGCACTGATTCTGTTGGAAGGAATGAGTAAGCATTGGCAAAATGAGCATCTGCATGGCTACCACCAAGACATCCTGGGGCAGTCTTTTTGTCTGAAAAAGCTCCAGAAAGCAAAGCAGCACTGCTTTCTTCTCTTGTGGGGAATACCCTTCTCCAACCTATGTAGGATGAACACAAAATCAATAGTGTAAGTAGGTCAGCGCAGTAATGCTTCATCTCCAGCAATGTGCTGTGTAAAAAACACATCACATAACTATAACAACTCCACCCCTTCAAACAACTAAAACATTTTGGTGATTGTCGCATAATATCAGAAAAACAATATCCTTCCAAAAAGGATTCACACATATCAGAATGTAGAAGGAACTTACCTCGACCATGTAAAATTCTTTCAGGAAGGTGTAATCAATCCGTGTCCGCACCAAGAATATGGACAGCATCTCAAAGAGAACATTGACCTCAGCCTTGTCATGCCTTAGGTAATTCAAAAAGCACTTCACTAAACGCTTGCTTTCCTTCACCTACTCATGAACACGCAAGTTAACAAACTCAGATGCTAACTTGAAAGCCGAAGGAAAAGAACTTCAACAAGACTACAAGAAATCGATAAAAATGTGTAAACTTCTGATTTATAGCACTCAATCACTACACTAAATGCATATAAAACTTTCTAGAATAATGTTAAAGATAAACCAACCCATTCAAAAAAAAAATTAAAAAAAAAAAAAAAAAAAAAAAAAAAAAAAAAACACTTGCCTGATTTAAACTCAGGCCCTGTTCATTAATTAAGCGGGCTTGCCGAGCAGGGGACTGCCATAGCCTCACTAAAGCATCGAAAACTGCGCGGTTTTGATGCAACCAATCCGGCAAAAGCTTAACTAATGCAGATACAAGAGCAACCCCTTGAAACTGAGCCTCAGCTGTCGCCTGGACACCAGCTTCCGCCGGACCAACTCCGGCTTCGGCCCCACCTGCCGGTATTAAAGCAGCAGCATTCTCCTCAACAGCTGGAAACGCGCTCTGAATAATTTTATTGGGAGAACGAGCAAGCTCCTCCCGTAAAGGTTGTCCTCCTTCTGATTGGATAATATCCATGAACCTAGTAATATTGAAAAGGCAATACCAATCACTAAATACTGCCATAGTGCATGACAACCAAGCGTTCATTCTGAAGAATTAGAAGCATGTTTACTTGCACCTTTTACAAACTAAAAGAAAAACAACTGATCAGCTTCATAAATTGCTTACCGTCGAAACACGGTTGGCTGCGTGAGGCGGCCAAGGAAGTAATCCACGGCTTCAGGTGCATAGCGATTCAGAAACTTAGTGAGTGGCAAACGGTAAGGGCTATTCAATTCACTGTAGACCTGACTTGGAGGAAGCGCAGCTTCCAACTGCATAGTCAAGGTCACCAGTTGGTCCAAGAACTTCTGAGCTGCTGGTGGGAGCAGATGGAAAAGTTCAATTATTGCTGCAAAACCAGGAAACAATCGTAACTAAAAAATTAGAGAATAAAATCATTTAACTCTTCCCAGCTACTAAACTTCGTATTCAACATATTTGCTAGTAATTCTGGATTTAATACTCGACCTTCTCAAAAAAAAAACATCAAAATCTAAAGCTAAGCGATGGTTCACCAAGCACTGCAGGTGCAGTACAAGAACTATTCACACCCCGAGCATGGCTTCCGCTTCATCTAAATACAATGACCAACAGAATAAGGGCAAAAGTCCAAGATTGCTTGAATTCAAGACAGAAACAACCTAACTCTCCATGAGAAAAGTTTCAGTACCTCCAGCAATTTTAGGTTCCTCGCCAGCCTTCCAAGATTTCTGTGATGAAGAGAGTTTCTCAGGTTCCAGCCACTTCTTAAGGTGTTCCATTAGTTTTTCGCCAAGAGTAACATTGAACCAATTAGAGAGAAGCTCAAGCAAACGAGCCAAACCCTGTAATAGCGGCATTGTCAAGTTCTTGTAATGCGCTAAGTTCACAAGAATAGGACGAAGGCTGCTTTGAAGCAGCTCCTTTGGCATTTTCTGTTGCTGGATGACCTGGATACATCAGAAACGATTCAGCACTTCTCCCAAAAATATTTCAACGACAAAAGTCTAACCATGAATTCACTGATATTTGATTAAGAGTAGATCCAGCTTTTACATCAGTTGCAATGGATTGGGCCATGACTTGAAACAAGTTTAATTTCGTTGAGCAATGTAAGAAGGAAAAGCAGACGCACCTGACGAAGACCCTCCTTCGCAACCGCAACAATTTCAGGTGTACGACAAGTAAGTGACTTGAAAAACATTGCAATGATTCGTGACCGTAACTCGGCATGGCTTTGGGTCTTAAAATCTGCCCATGCCATAGCTGTACACAAAAGTTCTATACATACAGTTCGTAATTTAGTCAGTGTGGCAGCCATTTTGGGATTCATAAACTTGCCATTAAGAACTGACTCATCCGCCTCTGCAATCTGCAATGATTCCTGAAGAATGTTGCTCAGCTCCTGTCTCATCTTCAGCAGTGGAGGTCGTAGAGCAAGGCAGAAATTTAGAGCCATCACTGTGCCAACCTGCATTCAAAAATAAGCATTTATCAACAACTATGCATCAAAAAACCGATGATTTTTTCAGAACAGTAATCGTCTCCACCCAAATCAAAACTCGTTCGGAGGTTGACTTACAAAACAAACGTGATTGCGAGGATCAGTAACAAGGCAACAAACCATACCTGCTGTTCAGCATGCTTACTCCGGAGAGGCTTGTAGACCAGTGGAGTCAGAAGAGGCTGATAGTGGGGTTCCAGCAATTCTGAAACCTCACTACCTGTCCGACTGGCCAAAAGTGCAAGGCATGATTGTACATTTTTTCGAACAATATAACTAGCGTTCGAGTTAAACAGCTCCCCCGCAAGTACTTCGACAACCCCTAGGAAGCTTTGTCTACGAGGCTCACTGTTGTTCTCTTCCACATTGTTCACGACTCTTAGTACTTGATTTAGAACTTGACTTGCCTCCTCCTGCTCAGCATTAGCATGCGGGGGCAACCGTTTTAACACATAAATCAGTGCCCTCACAGCCCGAACCTGTCACAAGCATTAACGAAAAGATATCAATGCTAGTGATTTACACAACTCGGGTAGCTAGGACACGTGATAAAGAATTCACTTGTATCGTTGCGAAATATGACGAGTATAAAACGACAAATATTCAATTAAACTAAATTACAAGAGAATTTGTTTCTCCATGCTTATGACGAAACAGTTCATTGAAAAGAAAAAATTAATATACCTGAAACTGGCATAACATCTCCACTGTAGCCTTCCCAACCAACGCCCCAAGCCCAATAACACCTCCCATCTGCGCTTGCCATGTGCTACCATAGCAACAGTGCAAGAGGCGAGGAAGAAGTTGCTCAAAAACAGGTACTCTCACACCAGGAGGAGGAGAATACACTGGATTCATTGACGGGCTCGACACACTCATGGGAGTTCCGGGGGTGCTCACCCCTCTAGGAGTAAGAATACCTGTATGCTTAGAACGTGCTAGGAGTAGTAAGGTCTCAGCGAAGATATTAAGTCCATTTAAAGCCGCCTTTGCATGCGCTCGATTTTCATCAGCCAATACTGCAACAAGCGCGTCAAGAAATATGAGAGGATCAAGTTCTTTAAGGTTTGCTTGAGCCCGGTTGCTGCGTGTTCTAGCGTTTGGTACACCAGAAGCCGTAACAGTGTGAGGGCCAGAATTTCCTCCAGGATTGTTAGCAGCTGATTCCACATGGAATATCATTGCGAAGTGGCGGCAAATGTTGGCTGCAAAATCATCTTTTCCATCTTGCAGCTCCAGCTCCATACTCGCTGCAATGACCGTCATGAGAAGCACTTTAAACACACTTCTTTCAGCCATAAGCTGCGTCTTCGTCTTCACTCCCAAATCACCCTGAGAAAAAAAACAAAACTGTGTAAGTCAACACTTCCATGACAGAACTTCATCTATAAATCATCACTTATCCAAAGAGCCATGTCGATGAGCACGTTGAACTTATGGAGACAAATGAAAAGCAATCTAACAAGACCTTCACGTTTGGATTCTCTGCTCTGCGTCGAGAAGGATCAACTGATGTGATAAACATTGTGCTGAGCTGCCCAGGGGTAACTCCTTCTCCTCCAACATTTCCCTTCAGGTTCAACACAGAAGCCAAGCACACTCTCAAAAATTTCAGGGCATGCTTCCGATAGAAAGAGTCTACTCCAACCTGTGTCCCCATAACAGCAGCTCGAGCAAGATATATACACCTGTCTAGCGGCACAAGGAAGGATGTTGTGGGCTCAAACGTCAGAATTAGACGAAGCCCGTGTTCAGGATTCTCTTTGCATTCAAGAGACAAAGGTTCTTTAAGAAAACGACGATTACGGCCACCTAATTTGCCCAACAATTGAAGGGCCTTGCCACCCCAAAGATAGGGCTTTGGTCGAAGGTGCGACCAGAGAGTTAGTATGAGATCTGACATCACCGTCGCCATGCTAGGCTCCAAAAATTCTGGATTAAGGCTGTCGATCCAGAATTCAAGTGTTCGCAAGCCTAGTGCAACAAGCTCGTCACTCCCTCCTAACGCCAGCACTAAGGGCTTCATTAACCTATGCAGGTGAGGAAGCAGAGAACTTAGACGGGCAGGGAGAGTGAGACAAAGCTCAACCACTAGATCTATCATGTCCAAACCAGTCGGACCTTCCACCATAGCAAGCAGCATATTAAGGCATGGTTGCAATGTTGGAATGAACTCCCGAAATAGCAATTCAAATTTTCCTCCAGAAAGTGCTCGAAACATTGTACGCAGCAGTTGCATGTATCCAAGTGGTTTTTCCACTTCCGTGGCATTTTTCATGCACGACTCCATAAGTGTTATAACATGGGGTTGTAGCACCCGCTCACAATCAGCTGAAAACTTAGCCACAGCAACAAAGAGGTATCGAAAAAGCTGCAACACGAGTTTTGCTGCAGGAGTATCCGGCTGCTTCAATGTATCTAACTTGCTAGTAACCAAATAATTCACCAACACATCTGCAAAATGCTTGGTAACCTGAAAAAAACAGAGAGAAAATTGGCAACACGTCGCATCAGCATCTGATAATACAACCGTTCAATTATATGCTCTCAAAGTCATAAAAAACTACACAAAATCTGAACGAAAGCAAACAAACAATGCTTTGAAGTAGAAGCCAATGTCGACCTTGGGAGTGTATAGAAGAGTCGAGAAAATCTGGAGAAGCTGGAGGTTGGCGAGCATGCAATCAAACAACTGAGGCATGCAGAGCGAGAACATGTCCATGAGATTACGGTGCTCCATCACAGCAAAAACTGAAGAATAGTGAGTATACATTTCTTTCTCTTCGTCTTTCTCCTTGAAGAGAGCCAAGCAATGAAGGCCACTCTTTAAAATTCCTGATGCAAGGCGAACCTGATTTACAACAAAAATTATGATCATGTTAAGTGACATGTGGAAAGGTGGCAGTAAGACACGAAAGACTAGACTGATCCAGCTCAATTGATACGCCTTTACAATGGACAACTACTTGTTTGTTACTCTGCTCCATTGCATTCTTATCCAAATATAGATAATCAACATAAATCTTTATTGTATGGCGAATTCTATGAACACGTTCCCTGAAGTAGCCTTACCTCTTCCTCTCTCATGCCTTTAACAGGTACAGGAGCATTATTCATCTGGGGCAATGGTGTTGCATTGAAGTGAGTGATGCTCCAAACCAGAGTCTTCATTCCTGGTAAACAGAATCCAACATAAAATGGAAAAATATTTTATCGTGCTGCTGAACCAGAGGAAATAATCCATAGATGAATTAAGGCATGAGAGAGGAAGACATCGCGTATCAAAAAACGTAGATACAAAAAACAAAATTGTCATGAGAATTGTGTAGTCATTACCCATTATAAGAGTTTTCAAAAGCTGCTTGCAATCCATGACTTCCTTAGAATGCTCTGGTGGTACTTGCAGATTCAAGGCCGCCTGTATACCAGCAACATTGAAATGTCTATTATCTATAACAATGCAGGCTACTAGAAGTCGTTCTTCTTCCTATTAACAAAGAAAGCTATTGAACAGTGCACATTCCTATCAACACAAAAGACTCTCTTAACATAATGGCCAACAGAAGTGGCACATACTTCGTCTTTTACGATCTAAATAATGTAAATAAATAGTTCAAGCTCTTATTATTAAATATGATTATCGAACATAGCTCTTAAAACCACCTTGAACCACACGCAAGGATACTAATAATCACAAGTACAGAAAACTAAGCTACAGAAAAACACGCCTCACCTGCACAGGAAGCTCCAGCCTAGAACGCAATGTACGCCGTTCTTTCCTATCTTCTCCATCCTCCTCTAGTAACTACATTCGTCAGGGAAATAGTTCAGCAAAATGAGGGTCAGAAAAGAAGTAATTTAAATTCAAAAAACCCAAGGACAATCCTACAACCAAGTTGACCTAGGATATAGAAACATTTCCAATCAATTTGCAAATCAATAGATCTAAACATCATACACACAACTATAACACCTTTGAGATGCTTGAAAACATACTGTCACATCTTAAAACGGCTTAAAATTTATCTAAATCACCTGAGGAATACTGTGTTTCAGCGTTCCAAATTTACTGACAAATGCATCCAGAATTCGACCCTGCAATTCAAAAGTGTCACCAAACACGCACAACTAGAGTCTTCCTAATCCACTGCAAAAATGAAGCACCTTCGAGATCTAAAATCCAAAAAATTAAAAGGAAGTAAAACAATGGCTATCAATCACAACAAGCAAATGATCACAACCACTAAGATCTAGCATGAAACTTCAGATAAAAAGCACATGATACAAATGAAAATAAAACAAAAATGAAAAACGTCAAACTAGAGCTGGAAAACAATGACAAAAAGGTCTAAGATCTGAGATGCAGTACAAGAAGAGCTCGCCCTTCTTCTCTACTCAAGTGATCAACTCTTCGTCCAAAAATTGTCTCCACCTGTATATCCCGTTAACCAACACATTCAAATCCAATCAATGATAATGCTGTCCTGAATGTAATTATTCCCTAACAAACTTGAATTTTATGGGTAATTCAATAACACTGCACCGACCACGTCACTGAAGGCTGCTACTCATCGAAAGTGAAAGGGAGTAGAAAGAAAATCATTTGTTCAAAACTTGGCTTACCAGATTCAACATGAGACGAACGCACGTTGTCTGCACACTAAGAGGAAGAGACGAATCGTGCACATTCCTAGAAAATAGATAAACAATTCGAGAGAGCTGCAAAAGCATGCACCCGGCATCATTAATGCGAGCAATTTTAAATCCTTGTCTCCAAATATGAAAAGCGAGCCGAAACATGATAAGATAAAGCAAGTAGTATTAGAAGGAAACCTGTGGAAGAGAAAGGTCCAATCGGACATGGTGGATGAGCTCTGCTAGAAGGCTGTATGCTAGAGGCCTCAGCGTTTCATAGCACGCCCTGCCCGTTCCAACTAAAACCCTGCCAATCACACTCCAAGGTTTAGCATCCTCTCAGGACTTTCCACAGAAAATTACACGAAACACCGCACAAAACCGCTTACTTAATGCACAGTATCAACGTGCCAAATCTGCCCACGATTAATACCTCTCGTCAAGAAGTGTGTCTATCTGCGGGAAAAATCCTCTCCTAAAGTCCGTGGCAAGCACATGACGAGTGGCAACTAAAAGTTCCTGGTAGGACATAAGAAAACCAGAAAGAAGATGATCATCAGTTTAAACATGCTTCAAATCAGCAACCAAACGCGGAACCAGTAAAGCGACATCGTTCCACAAATCTACAAGAAGAAATCTATGATTCAGCTCTATTTTACTTGCCGGCCACTTTCACACAGAACCGCAACAGTATAAAACTCCAAAATCACCCCCAAGAACAGGTTGTACCTTGCGGATTGACACAGAATCGGGGCAGCTGACAAGCAAGCTCACAATACTTTTTGAGATGCTATCTTCATGAGGACGAATGCAATCAGCAAAGCTCCGCAGTAAGTAAGTCAGAAAGGAGACAGTCTGCAACCAGCACAAGAAGATGCCAATAAACATACCTGCAATTGAGGCGTCAATCTAGCATCCACAAGAATTGATAAGATGCTTAAGCATATAGAACCGCCTTTCAAGAACATGAAAAATTGCATCACGGTTCGAGGAATGCAAGAAGAAAAAAATACCTTGACTTGCGCTCCTTTCAATTCTGCGTAGACATTCTTCAAGGTTGGAGGTACTTCAGTCGGCCCAGGAATTCCAATAGCACTCACCATGAGAGGAAGCAACAGAGGAATATTTGTCGGAACATAACGGGGATATAATTGAAAAAGAAACATCACAATCAAAGGGCACTCAGTGACCACTTTGAACGATCGGGTGCTTTGATTAAGCTGTCCAGACATCGGACCTCCAGCTGGTGACCTCATTTGTCCCATGTATCCAAGGTTGTGATGCGCAGCTGCCAGCTGCACATCTGGGGCACTTGATTCTTCAAAGAAGTAAGTTACGGTCGCCCTAAAATTCTGGTAAATCTGCAACAACAAAAAACAAAAAATAGAAAATCCCACGCAAATATCAAATTGAGAGCAATGTTATCTAGAAAAATTCAAGCCAAGGCACCATAACAAGCAGTCAAATATATATATAGAGAGAGAGAGAGAGAGAGAGAGAGAGAGAGAGAGAGACGTGCCAGCCATTATTTAAGTATGTTTCACTCTCACTGTGCAATCGAACAAGATCTATCGAGGCATTACTTACGTTCCTTACATGATTGATAACTACCACTATATTCTTCCTCCTCATGCCACTAATGAGGTGTCACAAGTTCCTCTCTCTTGACGAAGTCTATTCACACATAAAACTCATTTATAGCCATTTCCAACCTGCAGCAGCTCCAAAACCACAATGTACTAAAACACTTTGCAATCCCTAAGTTGGGTAAACCCATACCTCCCGTACAAAGTCGAGAAACTGCTGCACATCTGGTTCAAGAGCAGGCCGAAAGTTTTTGTGAAGGTCGAAAATAATTCGTAAGCAAATCAAACCATTCTCCTCGTTGTCGCACGCCAGAACATGCATAGAGAGCTTCAGTAGGTCTTGCACAAAAAGGCGAAGAACCTCACTGTGAGGTAGCCGATTGAGAATTTCAATGACGACGTTGCGAAGCTTGTGCTCCACATTATCGGTGGCTTGAGGCTTCGTAATCTTTGTTAAGAGATTTGAGAAAACGACAAAGTAGCTCTTGAGGAAGTTCAGGTACTCAGATGTGTGCACAATCTCTATGCTGTCTCGGACTTCAGTGGCAAGGGTTAATCTGTTTTGCATAGCTGCAAACCATTGAACGGTGAAAATCAGAAAATTTCTAGTCTGAAAACATCTCAGCCATGCCTTGACTTTAAAACCCTAATTCGGGGTAGACCACTAATACTCCCAAGCTAAAACCCAAAACAAATCTGCCTGCTCGGGTCCATATTTCTTCCATGTCCTTGAATAACTACAGTACAGAATAGGGGAATGCACAAATAAATAAACAGCAATCTCCCAGTTGGAGAAATGATTTCCTCTTCATCGAGACCCTAGCCAAACCATGCCAGTTTATAATGTAGAAACGTTTCCTTCGAGATCTTGACTCATCAACTAAAAAATGTCATCGCAACCAACGCCTAGAAACAACCAAGTCCAAGCACAGAACTCATCCAAACACCCCCCTCCCCCCTCCCTCCCCTAAAAAAAATGCGTCTCATTCAATCGCAACAAATGAAAGAACGAACGCCACTTACAAAGGTCCTGCTCAAGAAACCTTCGAGCATGCTGCTCGAAATTGGCGATGGGAATCATGGTAGCCCGAGCCCCGCGGGCCTCCAAACCGCCTCAGAGAATCGCACGTCAGCCAAACTCAAGCGCCAAAAAACAGCAACACCCCATACAACACCTCCACGTCCACCTCCACCATCACCGCCACCGCCACAACCACCACCTCGTTCTCCACCCACAAACGCACACGCACAAAAAAAAAATCAAAAATCAAAAATCAAACAACACTAGGTCGCGCCACTCCACCTGCACCTGCACCTCCACCACCAGTGCACGCGCACCAACGCCAAGCCTGCAACTACACTCTCATATAATTCCTGCAAACTTCCTCCACTTCCAACTCGACCTTAACCCCAGCCAATCCATCATCGCGATGACTCTCAAACCCCTTTCCCTCCCTCCTCCCTCCCCTTCCCTTTTGGTCTCTTCGCAGTGTCTCCGTTTCCCCTCGGCACCGCTGAAGCTGCTCCCGACACAACCGAACTTATTTTCTATTCCGAGAGCACCATGAATGCTGCTGTTGCTCCTCCTCCTCCTGTTATAACTTCTTCCTCTCCTAATTCCTTCCTCTTCTTACTGCTTCATCTTCTAATTCTTCTTCTTCTTCGTCTTCTGCTTCTCTTGTGGACTTCTGCTGTTAACGTTGGGGGTTCGCGGGCGATGGTTGCTAAGCGATGCCATGGTCTTGGAACAAAAGCCCGCACACCGCTGCGGCGGAAGACCCACCCCTCCTCGCACGCCGGCTCCCGTCCCCGTCCCCCGTCCCGCCTCCGCCGTGCTTCATTACTCCCTCACTGACTTACTAATGTTGCTTGGATTAGTGAGTTTCTCTCCCCCTCCTCACCCACTAATCCTCCTTCTAAACCTGCACGGCTTTGGGGGAAGGCAGGGGAGGGGAGGGAGGAGGGTGTTTATTGACTAATGGTTGGCGTGTACCTAAAGCTCAATTATAAAACCAATCTTTTTCTTAGACATAATTATTTTTAAAAAATTAATAATTAATAGAAAACATTAATTTTTGTTGGAATTATTCTTATCAATTGTATAGACATATTTTAAGTAATTAATTACATCATGTGTAGGAGTGGTAGACGACTATAAAATTGAAAGAAAAGAGTAATGTTACAAAATAAGAAATCAATTATTGAATAATTTGTAATTATAATTGAAGTTAGAATGGCTTGAATGACTTTTATTTATTTGTTTAGATATACACATCTTTCAATCTTTAAAATAAATGCTTAGCTAAACATTTAAAATTTATGTGGTGGTTTCAGATATAATAATTAGAATAGTATTTGTGGCTCTTTTTTTTCTTTACTCAATTTTACCAAATACTGGTATTTTATTTTAGAATATTATTCAAAACATTGATAAATATTTTAGTGAATCTAATAATTTATAATCTACAACACTAAAGACACAGTGGAATTGGTTTTCAAACATAAACTTTTGATTACTTATTAAATTAAAATAACTAATATATATTCTAAAAAACCTATGTTTAAAAAAAAAACAAAAATTATATGTGATTATTATATGATCTTGGGCAATAAATTATTTATTTGTGATTTTTGTAAATTATAAATTTTTAATTAAAAAATATATAAAAACATATGTTTGTAATATTATTTCCTTTTTTAAAAAATTAAAAGTATATGTCTATATATATATATATATATATATATCCTTAAAACAATAAACTAATTGACCTTTTAAAATTACTTCTTTAAAATATTATAAGAAATATAATACTATTGATATTTAAAAAACATTGGTTCATACTTTATTCCAAGATATAGTTATCAAATATATAATAAAATTAAATGTGACTATTTGTTTATTTCTAAAGTACTCAAGAATAAGAATCGTCTTATTTTATAAAATAAAAACAAATTAAACATGAAATAAACATTCTAGAACATTTTTATTTACACAACTTGAATATTTATATAGTCATAGTATCTAATGCATGATTTATTTTAGTTGCCTTTGTCGAGAAAAAGACATTTAAATAATAAATACTAGTAAAAATTATAAATTTTAATATACTTTTTAAATATTTAAACACCATAAAGTATTAAATTTTTAAATGCACTCTTTAAAAATATATGTGTTTTATGTCAAGTCATTTGAAGCTTAGTTATTGAATGTAAAACAAATCCATGATAGAATTTTAATTCATTTAGAAATTCTTAATATTATTTATTGGTTGATTATGTTTTGCAGTTTAACTATATATATATATATATATATATATATATACATATAAATAGGTAATATTTTATGTTTATATTATAATAAAACCGTTAATAAATGCATGAATCTATTATTTCTTTTAAAAGACTATATACTAAAAAATGTACATATACATTGTCAACTAAATTAGTCTATAAAAAAATTTAAAGAAACAAAATATAATACATAGTTTGCTTTCCAAAAGCCAAAGCTTAAACTATGAAGATTTGTTTTTCAAAATATATGTATATAATATCATTTAATAGAATAAAACTTTCTACAATAATTTAAAAATCTAAAAAGGACATATTTACATGAAAAATTATTGATAAGCTTATGTCTAATTAATCAATTTAACTTGAAACAATTTATTTATATGATGAATTTTAAGTCTATTTTTTGAAATTATTATAAATTAAGATTACATAGTACATTAAATAAGTTATCAACTATTTTATAATAATACTATTATTTGAATCCATTGATTTCTTCTTGTAGTAACATTTTAAAATAAATTATTGTCACGTAATAAATAGGAATAAATTACAGATGAATACATTGATAGATGGTTGAACGTTTGGATGGATGAATATATACAAATAAATATAGATATACTTCTTTTTTCAGTTTTTAAATTATTAAAAAATGCTTTAAAAATCTTCTTTGTATTTTTAAAATGATGCATTACATTTGGTTTTTAGTAGTTTAAGATCTCGTAAGTATTTCCTAGTAGTACAACTATATAATAGTTAGTTTTAGAAGTATAATATAATTTAATCACTGATATTTTTTACTATTTTTTAATAATATAATAATTTATTAATTTTTATTTAAACTATTTATTGGTTAATATTACAATAATAATATAAGAAATATTCTATTTTTCTCCATTGTATATATTGCACTAAATATTTTTACATTTCTATCTTTCATTGTAGATTTAATAAGTTTTTTGTATAATGAGTTTTTTTCAAAAGACTATTAAAAACATTTAATTTATTCTAATAATAAAAAAATAGATTAAAAAATCATATTTTTGATATTATTTACCACTTTTTCTTAGATTGCTTGAAACAATAAGATTTGAAAAAATTCATTCTCATACAATTGTCTAATAATTTAATACATAAAAGTTAAACAAAAAAAATATTATATTCAATGAATTCGAGATAAACATTATAAAATTTATAAATACACTTTTAACTTCAACACATGAGATTATATTATGTTATGATTATATTAATCTCAATCTTTATTATGATTATTTTAGTACTTTTAGTGTCCAATTTAAATAAGATAATTTTGTAGAAAGTTTTAAAATATTTCTTTCATATATATATATATATATATATATATATATATATATATATAAATTAGCAAAAAACAAACAAAGAATAACCATCACAACAATTTTATTGCTACATTCATCAAAACAATAACGAGAGAATAATTTTATACCAAGGAAATAAAAAAATAGACATACAGCTCAAAAGAAATATTGATATTAGCCAAAATCTAACTTACTAAGCAACACAATTGCCAAAGCAAACACAGGATGACTTCAAAGAGCAACTATTTGTTTACTTAACATTAATAAAAAAACAACCTAATATTACAAGAAGTACTTACCAAAAATAGTTTAGTATTTTATGACACAATTTTTTTATAATTAAAAATTTATATATTCAAAATATGTATGCACACATATTAAGATATTCATTTACTGACCTTCAGACGTGATATATTAGAACAAGTTAGTAATGTATGTTGATATGCAACAGAATACTGAATTACAATGTAAATGATTTAACTAAAAATTATACAAGAGTAATTTTTTAATATTTCACAAACTGTAAATAAAAAAGTAAAACACTAAAATTCATATACATGTGAATATATATATATATATATATATATATGTATTTGCACTTATAACTCGAAAATTGTAATACAAAAAGAATATAACATACACCACATAAATTTTAAAATCTTGTCTGTAAAATATAAAAATAACATGTGTACATATAAATTTGACATATTTATTAATATATAAATTTATCAAAAATAAATTAAAATATGAATTTTTTTTCTTTGATTTTACTATCAGTATTTTAAGGTATGAGACTAAAACCAATTATTTCTAGATTTAATAGAAAAAACATAAAGATACATTTATAAAAATAAATAATTATTATTATTTTATTTTTTTTGAGATACTTTTTAAAGTTAAATCACTCAAAATAAAATATAAAATACATATGTTGCATAATTTTACATATGAAAATATGATGAATTCTAGTTTATATTGAATAGGAATACACTTACAGATTTTAGATTATTCTTATTTCAGATACATTAGTTGTCACTTAAATCTAGTAGATGTTAAATATAGTAATATTATTGGTTTAAAAATAAATTTTGATAATGTCTTTCTGAAACATATTTTAAGTTCAATTTTCTATTTCAATTTTCTAATTTCACAAAATCACACTGTATAGTTTATTTTTAAGATTTCCAATCTAAAAGAACAATTGAGGATTATAATGTCACTTCAGGAAGCAGAAATAAGAAAAGGAATTCAAAATAATAACAATGACATCTAAATTTATATTATGTACTTTGAAAAAAATCATTGTTATTTGATTAATCAAAATCACATTTCATATAAGTATGTATGTATGTATGTATAATAAAATTTTAAATTTCGTGGAAAATTATTAAATGTTAAATCTAATAGTTAACAGATTTTTTCTTAATAATTGCAACTTAGTGTATCTAAGTACATAAAAGATCAAAAAGAAATTGATTAAAATGCTTATTGACTGTATAATAAAAACTAACTTCTTTATTAAAACATACTTTTTTTTCTTTTTCTTTGTCTTTTTTAAAATTTAAAACATAAATCTGAAAATAAATGGTGCTTTGAAGTTATAAACTAATTTTGCAAAGGTGGAAAAAAAATTTATATGAAAATTGAAAAAGCATAAAAATACTACTTTAACATGTAAGACTGGTACTTAATTTTGTTACTTTGTTTTGAAATTAATTTTTTAATGTAATTGATTAAAGTATAGTAATATATAATATAATTATAATTCAAATAATTTATACGAATAATGCATTACAATATCAAATAAATATAATTTTTTAATACTACAGGTGAATAAAAATTAATAAAAATATGTCAATACATCTATATACACACACATATAAAAAAAATAAAAATAAAAGTCATGCTTATAAATAGATCAAATAATATACAGCTATACAAGTGTAACAAAAAAAAAAGAACATAAAAAGTTGTTATATAATTTTTTTTTAATTTGTATTATATATTGATTATTTGTGTACATAAAAATAATGCAATGTATTTTGATATAATTTTATAAGTTTTTATTCTAATAAAAGATTAAAAAAATAATCATATAATTTTTTTCTTAGCTTTACCATCACAAATATTAATTTGAA